CAAAAAGAGAGAGAGAGATACAAAAAGAGAGCGAGAGCGAGAGAGAGTGATATAAAGAGAGCGCGCGCGAGAGAGAGAGAGAGAGAGAGAGAGAGAGAGAGAAAAAGAGAGAGAGAAATATTTGAGAGCGAGTGCGTGCTGTGCTGATAAGAGAACGAAGTAAAACGAGAGAATATGAGAATATAACAGAGATACAGAGTGAGGGAGAGAAACCGAAAAAGTGTGATCAAGCTAATGATGTATAAAAAAGAGCAGCGATGGGAGGAAGGTGGGGTGAGATAGCCAGAGAAAAAAGAGAGAGAGAGAGAGAGAGAGAGAGAGAGAGAGAGAGAGAGAGAGAGAGAGAGATTCGTGACACGCCATCATGGGGGCATTTTGACTATGAAAAAACATCACAACGTATTTACATTGTCAATATAGATCTGTCTCCATTATTTAGTCACTAACACAAACACGATCGAGGCAAAACGGCCACTACCAAAACGAAGTGGTTATTTTCGAGCAAAATATTGACAAATATACCATATCAAAACTATGAAAATTTACGTCCATTTCACACACATTCTCAGCGACAATGGACGCAGCCGCAAAATAACCGCAAAATAGCCAGCAAAATAGCCGCAAAAAGCCAACTCACCCAGATTTAGATTATAGACCTGTGATGGATAAGGCACGCTATAGGTTCTCGTCATATCGGCTCCTCTTGAACCGCCATTGTTCTTTCTGAGCAACAAAACCGACAACTAATTACTACTCAATCAAAGTACGCCTTGTTTCCGCGAAATGAAAACAATCGAATAATTTTATCGAATAATTTATCGAATTATTTCGCTAAAAATTAATATAACTAAACCAAATTAAGCTCATTCATACAAATTTAAAGAGAATCTTGTTTGCGTAAAATTGACGCAATCAGGGTAAAGATTGTTGACACAAAATTAAAACAGTGCATCCCATTCATTCGAAATTAACAAGTCAAAGTTACAATGCGTCTCAATCACGCAACATCTAACGCAAGCAGCGTAAAGGTTATTGCACGAAAGTTCACAAGGCTCATCCGAAACTGGCAAATCGAATTTCGAATTGCAAATTTCATATATCAAATATCGAATTTCGAATTTTGAGAATAACATTCGATTGAAGTTTGTCAGCTGGGGAGTAAAACGCAACCTACTCTGATTGGTCAGAAACGATCGTTACATTTAGAATATCGTGAGTCTTCGGGTCTTTCGTATTATTGACACAAGATTCACACAATTAGATTGCCTGTTTTGTTTGCCCTCAAAGTAAACGCTTAGTAGTTAGAAAAATCCCTGGTTCTATTGCTCATGATCGATGCCACGTTCGCTGTTTTTTAATGGCGCACCGAAATCCCTCCGTGTGATGTTGCAAAAAGCGATTGATCCAAAGAAGCTGTGAAACTCGTATAACGCACGGATTCACACGAGATCTTTAGATTCGTAACCTGCATTGATTCGCGTGTTGGGATTCGCAATATGCAAAGACTCACAGCGTGCGAATACCTTAATTGTGCAATACTGCTACAGAGTTCGATACGGTTATAACGTCTACGGATTTGCAACATGTATGGATTAACAACGAGCTGGGCGTACCGCGATTCCTCTTCCTTGTCTATGGCCTGCCACTTCTCCCGGTCTGCATCAGATAGAGTGGTCACGACATTGGAATTGTTCTGCTGCGAGAAAGCAAACAAAACACATGCACGCTGAACGTAATTAGCCGCTAATCAACGGAAGACTAAGATTTATGAAATTTCTCGCGGGCCACGATTCATAGATTAAACGGACGGTCTAATAACAAACACGAATAATAATAAACAAATAATATAATAATAAACAATAACTCGGTCTAATAATAAACAAGAGCGAGAAGTAAAGTATAGAGCGCCTGACTATGCTGGCACACCTGCTAATGCAGCGTAAAAACTATTATTACCAATAGCGCTTTACCTGTTGTTCATGCCCATAATATGCTATTAGTGACTCGGCTGTTCTGTATTAGCACTCAGCGTCTGTTAGCAGTGCTGTGGCGTGGTGTGTGTGTGTGTGTAGGATGTGGTGTGGTGTGTGTGTGTGTGTGTGTGTGTGTGTGTTTGTGTGTGTGATGTGTGGTGTTGTGGTGTGACGTGGCTGTGAGATGTGTGCGTGTGCGAGCGAGTGTGGCGTGCGTATTGTGTGTAAGAAAGTCCATCTATACGGACCGCAGAAGCCAGCCAGACTAAGACATGCAAGATTAAATTGGCTCATTTCAGTGTCGATGCTAATATGGGCTTACACAGACGCAGGAGCCCGGCGAGATATCGATAAAGGTCCTGCTACTCACTTTTAAATAATGCCTCTGGAAACGGCAAAGTTTCAACCTTATCCCAGCCCGTGGCCGTTATCGGCTTCGCAGTTGTTCTGAAAACATAGAGCGGCTGTAATCTGATCTTATTGGATCCATGCACGCGTCTGTGCTGACTGCTACCGGCTCGACACAAGTGACTATTCCGTAATTAAGGCAGCACCCAGTAGGCCGTTAGATGTTTACTTTTCCTATCATGTCGGTTTTAGAAACTGTACATTCACTCCACGTTTGTGTCGAATCACTTAATTAAGTCAAATGCCTCGCTTGACGGTTTGTGCGCAGATGATGCTTAGGTCACGCCCACGATCAACCTGGCTGCTTGGCACGCCAACTCAATGAGTAATATGAATTTTGCTGGAAATGTTAGATTAGGGCGTTAGCGTAGGGTAAATAAAAGTATATAAAATTCCGAGCTAACACTAATATAACTACGGGATACCGCCCGCGATTGCCCGGACTCAGTGGCGTTACTAACAGTTGGGTGACCGCTCTGGCTTGAAAAGGAAATAGCCCAAAATCAAAAACAACAGACGAAAGAGAGAAAAGCGGAACCGAAACTACCTATCTTATCCATGAATCCACGATGCATGCATGCATCCGATCATTCCCATTCTATGGCCATCCAATTCTCATCCATCGGCACCGCAGTCCATCCCATCACAGTACGCATCCATCCCATCTCATCCCATCCGAAAATTGCCATACCCATCTCATGCCATCCCTATGACCTGGCCCCATCATAGGCATGCCATCTCATTCCATCGCACGATATCCCAATGCCATGGCATGCCATGCCAGATGCAGTGCCCATGACCATCGCCGAATCGCACGCAGTGCGGCATCCATCGCCCAGAACAGTAAAAAAATAAGTGAAGAAATCCAAAGATAAAAGACATTAAATATAAAATAAAATAAAAATTAAAAAATTAAAAATAAATACATACTCAAGAGATAGGTAAAGGGAAAAAAAGGAAAGAATGGGGGAAAACATTTCCACCAAGCTGGGACTGACGAACCGGAATACGCGTGTAAGGCAAGACGGAGAGATGTCTCTAGCGAGTTAGGCCACACGGCCGTTAAAGGGTATACCATCCGATTCGACTACGGTACGTGATGTTAAATCTTGTACGGCACCGCGCGATTTCTAGTTGATGAAGATAGAATTCCTTTAATGAATTTTTATACTTTTAACTTTTCTAAAATCTTTGTTTTATAGCCGATGAACACTGCAGAACGGTGCTGGATTCTGAAATATCTTTAGCTTTTCCTCTAGCCTGCGGAGCTTCACTCTAGATTAATGCCGACGTATCGAACTATCGCAAATTAAATTC